GCTTAGGGTATACTTAAACATATATCACTAAATGTACCACAATGAAATAGTTGTACATCCTTAGTTTAAAATTAATATTGCATGACAAATTACATCTACATCACATTAAATTAATCCTAACAAAAACTCTACAATAATTACATATAATAAACGCCAAATGACTGATTGATTATATTTACAAATCAACTAAACTTACTTTGTATTTGATTGATGCATGAATATCATCTGTTATAAATTGATTTAAAAATCCTTCATCTTTAGACCAAAATAATCGTATATCTGGTATTTCATATAATTGCATAGCCCAACGTTCTAAGCCAAGACCAAATGCATAACCAACTTTATTAGGTATTCCAGCTTATCAGTTGGTAGATAGAAATTGCATATACAAAAAAAGGAAAAATCGATAAAGCTGTCAACAAAGCCACCATTTTTTGTCCATAAATGAATTGATTTATGTAGTATAAGATGAGATAATGTAGCTAACAGTAGTGGAATCGTTGAATTTGGCTTACTTACTTTCGCCTGTTACCCCCAACGGAGCATAGGCTGCCTACCAGTTTTCTCCAACCAACTCTGTCCAGGACTTCTGTTAGGATATTCACCAAATATCCTAAGAATACTATTTTTAGAAGTACAATCTTATTGGCCGAAATTATGATCGTTCTAACCGTCAAGGTCAAATACTTCAATGTTGCTTTTTATTGATCATCTGGACTATCAATGTCATTCAAATGTTCTTTTCTATTGGTCGGCCTAAACTGTCAATGTCACAGACGTTGATGCTCTTTCTTATTCAACCTTAGTGTATAAATACGCACTATCTGAAAGACGTAATAATTCCGTTTCCCCTGCCTGCCTCTTCTTCTGTATTCGACCCAATAAACAACTCCATTCCACGGTGTTGCGTTCTGATATCAAGGAGATTTGGAAATAGCATCTTGGGTCGTATTGGGATATTTGAATTGGACGCCGTTAGGACTGAAGAGCTATACGTAGCAGCGTTACAACAAATTTGACGACGTGTTGGTGACTAATTATAGATCCAGCTAAATTAGAAAAATTGTTTGCACAACAGCTGAAGCTGATGGAGATGCTTACTCAGACGCACATCTCTTCTCAAGTCTCATCTACACCTACAATTCCTCAGTCAGTTGATGGTATGACCAGTAGTATTTCTGAGTTTCTGTATGATCCTGACGCCAATATTACATTTGATACTTGGTTCAGGCGTTATGAAGATCTGTTCAAAGTTGATTTTGCTCACAAAGATGATTCCTGGAAGGTGCATCTTCTCCTTCGAAAACTTGGTCCGTTAGAACTGGACAAGTATTGCAACTTCATCATACCGCAGAACCCACGTGACCGATCATTCGATGATACGGTTCAGTCCCTCAGCAAAATTTTTGGGGATCGGCATTCTCTTTTCAATACACGTTATCGCTGTTTAAAACTAGTCATGAATGAGTCCGATGACTTCTTGACCCATGTTGGTATTGTCAACCGCGAATGTGAACGGTTCAAACTCAGATCCATTACTGATGACCAAGTCAAATTGATGATTGATGACATAAAGATAATGTATTATTATTTATTATTTACGCCTGTTACCCCCAATGGAGCATAGGCCGCCCACCAGTTTTCTCCAACTAACTCTGCCCTGGGCTTCCCTTTCGAATTCTGTCCAATTTTTGTTCATTTTTCTCATATCCTTCTCTATTTCTCGGCGTAATGTGTTCGTTGACCTTCCTCCTTTCCTTTTGCCTTGAGGGTTCCAAGTGAGGACTTGTCTCGTGACGCAGTTAGGTGCTTTTCGTAGTGTGTGTCCTATCCACTTCCACTGCTTCTTCCTGATTTCCAACTCCGCTGGAATCCGGTTTGTTCTCTCCCACAGTACGTTGTTGCTGATCGTATCTGGCCAACGAATCTGAAGTATTTTGCGTAGACAACTGTTAATAAACACTTGTATCTTCTGGATGATGGCTTTCGTAGTTCTACAAGTTTCCGCTCCATACAGTAGAATTGTCTTGACATTTGTGTTGAAAATCCTGATTTTGGTGTAGATTGATATTTGTTTGGAGTTCCAGATATTTTTCAATTGTAGTTGAATTTGGCAGTTCAATGGATAATACTTAGCGTGTTTAAAGTGAAAAGTAATAGTTTGAAATTCTGAAATGAACAATTAACTCTAGGTTGTATGTGTAATGAATGAAGACATTAAGACCAAGTGGAATAAGCGATTTATTTAAATAATGATATAGTTTACTAGTAAAATGCATACATCTTATCTTCAAAGTCACATTTGCAAAACACAAGCAAATTATTCGCTGTTTTCGTTCACATTTCTGCTAGTCTTCAAAACACTCTTATCTTACCATAATATATCGATATCCAACATTCCTTAGGCAGTGAATTCTCAGCGACACACCGCGACATACTACTTATAAGCCACGTTGCGAGTAGTATCCACCACTATACAAGTACCATCCGACTGACCAGTCCTAAGTACGATGAAACTCGTGTTATGAATTCAGCTGTAAGTCACAACCCATTTATTCTAGATTAAACTGTGAATAATGTAACTTCATACGTAAGTTATTTAGATAATAACACTTGACTTTAATGAAGCTTTTTTCGCAGCATTTACGGATAAATTACAACGATTTCGCTAATAAAATTTCATTGAATAGACATAAATTCCATAGAAATAATAAAATATTCTTTTGTAAAAATAATGAGAATGATTTGCAGCTCAGATGGATGCTTGAATGCGAGCGGTTAAATTCTAGGCCACTAAGCCAGCATCCAACAGTGTTAATGTCTAACTTCGATCAATTCACGGTCTTGCGCAACCTCATCTGCATTTTCGATGAACACTGCTTCTCATACGAACAGGGTTGAACTGCATTGGTCACTAATTCTCACTAGAACTCGGAGAAACTGCCTCACGAAGCTTACCGCTAGTGAGCACATGGTAATTTGCATAAAATGGTTGTGGAGATTGTTGGGTTACTTTCAAATCATGAATCGACCAATGTAAGATCCATTTTGGAGGGTTTTGTTTGTGAAAATCCCTCCATGTATACATTTGTAATTTATGCATATTGATCTCTTTAGTTCTAAATTTTGTTAGTCTGATCGATTCCATTTTGAGATGATAATATTTGTATTTTATTATAGTTTCTATTTCTATTACCTTTACTGAGTTTCTGTGTTTCTTTTTGAATTGCATTTATGTTGTTTAAGCTGATACTTAGTCATGGCGACAGCCATATTGATTTGTGCCTCCTTTGATTGTGTCAGTTGCTTGCTTTGACTGGAATTGTGCATTTTGATTGTGAATTGAAGCACCCTTCCAGAATGAGAAACACTCTGTGTTATAAAGCAACCTAATATTATCTTTCGAAGGAATCTGATCTATCCAGAAAGAACAGAATAAAGTTTATGTGTCGCTGTTGATTTGATTAACTGAACAGTTGTTGATGGAAAAACTGAGTGGTAATATTTGTTTAGGTAATGATGTATATTTATATTTATGATGAATACTAAAACTGTCATTTACCTTATTACTTTGTTTTGGTTTCAACCGGTTAAGGCGCGTATCTAAACTACATAGACAGTTATTTCTCAATCCAAACCTCAGTTTGCATCCTACATTAACAACAAATAATGCTTTTTCAGTGGTCCGCAATCCGATTCCGATTTAGACTAATAATTAAATATGCTATGAAATAAATCTTCCCGTCGACTTCCGTATATCATACTTAGGTTGAACCCCGTTTGTGCTGTAGTGATAATAAGGAACTAAATATGGTTTTGTGAATGAATTTTATTTCATGCCAATCGTTCACGCAGATAGACATGAGAATTACAAAGCGTACAACAATAAGCGAAGTGGAGAGGGAGAGTGACCTAGCTCCATGCGATCAGACATGACTAAGTATAGTTATAGTCAGAAGAAAATAAGCTAGACATGTGACAACACAAGCGACGCAAACAATGTACATATACGCACTTAAATAAAAACAACCACGAGTTTAAGCAAATCATTGACAAGGTCAAAAAACGTGTGAATAATAACTGGAGAAGAATGTAGTGATCAATTTGTCCAAAGGCTAGGGACAAGTCCTGTAGGTTCGACATATTAGTACAACCCTAACTAAACAACTGAGAGAATACACCTACTCAATTAAAAAAATGCTTCAATTTAGTCACTAAATACAAATAAACTTACAACGATCTAATAATTCTTGTCGTATTATACCACATCCTAACATTTCCGTCCATTCTTCAATACTTTCATCATCATCATCATTATTGTTGCGATTGTCACAAACAAGATTATTTTTAGGATAACCAGATTTTGTTTTAATTTCTAATTCCCATGATGGATGTGTAAATGGAAAGTAAGCATCGACCCAACGTAATTGTATGTCTAATAGTTTTAAAAAAAAATAAAACAATACCAACAACAAACAATAAAATCAAGAAAATACTTAGATTGGAGAGAAAAAACAATCACTACTCGTAAATCAATATTATTTTACAATATAGAGTTATGGAAATTGTTGAGTGACTTTGAAACCATGCATCGATCAATGTTAGACAACCAACACCGTTGGATGGCTGCTCCGTGGTCTAGAGGTTAAGCGTTCGCGAGAGGGAGTTGTGGATGTGATGAGTCACAGAGTAGGACGAAACGGTCGTCTAGTGCTTCCAGATTTCGAATAGTAATCTAACATTGATCGATTCATGATTTCAAAATGAATCAATATCATGTTATGATGAAAACTTTCAACTGATGAACAATACTATTGAAGCATTTCACTACACAAAAGAGTATACAGTTTAACGATGTGGAACTCCGTACGTAGCCCCTCAGGGGTTTGACAGCATGAACGAGGGAACATTATGGAAGTGTTTTAGAGACTACGGAGTGCCTGAGAAGATTGCCAACATCATGTGGAATTCTTGTGATGGACTAAACTGAAAAACCATGCATTGAGGACAACTCACGGACTCGTTCCACGTGAAGACCAGTGTCAGAAAAGGTTGCTTACTCTCACCCTTTCTCTTTCTTTTGATTGTCGACTGAATTATGAAGATGTCAACATGTGAGGGGAAGCATAGGATAGAAAGGACAGCTCGGATGAAGCTGGAAAATCTAGAGTTCACAGATGACATGACGCTTCTAACCCATATGCAACAACAAACGCAGATGATCAGTGTAGCAGCAGTAGGTCTCAACATACACAAAGGAAAAAGCTAGAACCTCTGACACAACACAACATGCGTCAACTAAACCACACTTGATGGAGATACCTTGGAGGATGTAAAAACTTTTACATATGTGGACAGCATTATTGACGAACAAGGTGGATCTGATGCAAGTGTGAAGGCATGGGTTGGAAAAGGAAGGGCAGCATTTCTACAACTGAGGAAAATCTGGAACTCGAAACTGTGAACGAACAACAAAGTCAGAATTTTCAATACAAATGTCAAGACAGTTCTGTTGTATGGGTGGAAACTTGCAGAACCACGAAAGCCATCATCCGGAAGATACAAGTGTTTGTTCACAGTCGTCTACGCAAGATACTCCGGATCCGTTGACCAGACACCATCAGCATCAACCTATTTTGAGATAAAAAAAACAGATTCCATAGGAGGAATAAATGAGGATGAAGCGCTGGAGGTGGATAGGAAAAAAATTGCGGAAAGCATCCAACTGCATCACAAAACAAGCCCCCACTTGGAATCCCGCTAAGCCAAAGGAAAAGAGGAAGACCAAAGAACACATTACGCCAAGAATGAAAAGAATGAACAGCGATTGGACAGAAGTGGGAAAGAAGGCTCCGCACAGAATAGGTTGGAGAATAGTGGTCGGCGGCCTATGCTCCATTAGGGCTAACACGCATAAGTAAGTAAGGCTATCTCATATAAGGGTAGACGCTTTAAAGACAACTGTGACCAAATTTTTTTAATTTAATATGGTCAATAGATTAACCTATCATACTTCACAGCCAAATATCAATTCAGAAGTTACTGTTGCACAGAGTACTCACCCTTTCTGTTCGAGACATATAAACGATCCACTAGCCTCAAAGGTGCTTCAAATTTCTGTTATAGGCTACTAATTAATCAAAGCCGATGAGATCTCTAATCAAAACAATATTCTTAGTATCTGTCAATAAAAAAATGAAATGGTTCCCACAATCCTCTCTCTAACCATCGGCTACTATTGTCTCGCGGATCCCAATCAGGTTGTTAGTCTACACCTACTAATCATAGCTCAGTCCAATTGTCAATGACTTCATGGATGTGTATCATGTTTTTTTGGTTTGGCCAATAAACATTATAATATTAATAATAAAATAAATATTAAAATCAATACCTGGACCAAATAAACATTTAGCCATTTCTTGTAAAAGAGTTTTCAATTCATATTCTAGTACTAATTTAGTTTCAGTGGTATGATTCAATTGTTTATCAAGTGGAAGCATAGATGAAGGAAACACTTTGAATGGATAAAGATCTGGTCGATTATATAATGAAGATGATGGAATATCTTCAAATAATCGAAAACATTGACAAGGATCAATAGCATTTTGAAATAACTATGGGGAATAAAAAAAAGTAAAACAGAGAGAGAGATGCAATAAACATTATAGTACATGTAATTTTTCTTACACTGAAATCAAGTTAGTCCCTGATATGCTTGAATGCTATTACGAGTCCACCATACTCGGTAAACGGAACGAAAGCAATAACTCAGGGACACGATAGGCTATTCTAATCCGTTTGTCCACGGCCCGGTTAACTAGATCAAGAAGTCTTGATAAGGCGTAGAAAGTGTGTTCTACAAACAACCAGAAAATACGAGGGTGCTGAGCATACAAATCAAGCTTATTTATACAATGATAGAAACTCCCTATAGAGAGACACAAAACAGCAACCAATGACAGTCAAGGATTTTCTGAGGGGGAAATATAACCTCTAGGTTAACCAAGCATCTCCGGCGCGAAAACATGGAAATTCAAAACTTCAGAATAAAATTACAAAATTAGGACCTTTTTGAAGTGAGTTCTGGGAATCTAACATCCACAACATTAAGCCGGATAGCTTATGATTGGAAAGCTTTTATTGTCATTTTATTACTAAAGTACGATTTAAACTGAATCCCAAGGCTTAAGCTAGTTGGAATATTAGTCAGTTATCAATAATGAGTGGATGTAGTTTGGTTGTTCAAAACATGTGACACATACGTTGGGTTTGGGTAACCGACTAATGTTACTAATCTTCACATAAAAAGTGTGATTCATAGCTAGTTATACTAAAGAATTAACTATTTTCTTGACATGTCACAAAACAGAATAAAAACATTGCAAAAAAAAACGTATAGACCCTTACTTCATCTTGTGTAAACAATCGAACACCTTCTATTTGATGAAAAACAGGATAATGCAACGAATCAATATCATCACGTCGATAAACATCACCAGCAACAAGGAAAGCATTTAAACCCGAATTGATTAAATCCAATTGATGCGCTGATGTATGACTACGTAATACCGTAGTTTCATTTAAATAATATGTATCTGTACGCAATCGACTTGGATGATCTGGTGGAATAAATAGACTGTCAAAATTTTGTCTCACTGTTACAACTGGTGATAAATGATCATATAAGCTAAACAATGGTGTACCTTTCTGATTATCATTATCTACATGACGAACATGATGCTAATAAATTAAAGAGAATACAAGAAAAATTAGGCTTTCAAATAATTAAATCATTAATTGATTTACTATGAATAGATAGTCAGAGAAAAACAAATTCAAAACTAATCAAACAAGAGTATGATTGGCTAACAAACCTATCAAGCCAGTAACTGGTGATGAGAGATTTTAAGAAGCCCGAAAACAAAAAATCGAATGACTAAGTATTCAAGATACAGATAGAATTGATTGGAACCAATTAAAATATCTCATTGAAGAACTTATTTATCATTTGGCTTAATCATATTACTTTTTACTTGGTTCAGGAGATCGGCATAAGGATGCCTATATATCAACCAAAAATATCAACAACGGGATAATTCCAAACCATTTTAAATGGGATTTTGTGGATTTTTTAAAATTTCTATTTCTGTATGATTGTAAGGAATGAAATCTTAAACAAAAAGATGCATTCGCATCATTGTGTTCAAATGTAAGTCCTGTGATCTAAATTTTCCAGCTAATTATCATGGTTTTCAAATGGACTCCAAATGAGGTGCGAGCTACTTGTAAGTAGTATATGACGTGAGTGTCAACGTACGTAATGTCTGGCAGCAGAAGATGGGCGAAGATTAAGAAAGGAAGAGTTATAACAAAATGGAATTTGTATGAAACGCATCATGAATAGTGACAATGGATTGATGTTTTGCAACAGGAACAGTCCAGTTCGATATGATGGACTGATATTTTGCAAATTAACGATTTACGATATGGTTTTCCTATTTTACTGAGTAACTCTGTAATTTCGTTAAATACAGTTCGGTTGCCCCACCTGTGTTCTCGTTCACTACACAATCAGGTAGTCCGGATCTATCTACACAACTCATACTAACAATCAATGACTGAGTGAGCCGGTGCCACCCCTTCATTTGATTGTCCTAGTTTTCTTCTAACTTACATCTACACTAACGAGTATCGCTCGTCGAAGTAGTAAGTTATAAACTGTGTAGGAACTAGGTACAAATGTGTATTAAGCTAACTTACTATACCAAATAAGCACAGGAGGAAACTAACGGAGGGATCGAATCGATAGCAGATTATAGAGGAAGCAAGTATACAGAATATGGTTTGAGAAAGGTAATAAAATAAAGGAATAAAAAGTACGAGATAATATTATAGCTCACGATTTAGAAGAAAACATATTCGCGCCAATATGATTGATCTCGAACTATGTAACTCGTTTTTCAGTGATCAGTCACGATGTCCACATAGTAAGAAGTCAATACACATGGATAGCAGAAACAGTCAAGAACTTTATATACTACTTCTATTCCTATTCTACTTGATAAACTTTATTTAGGGCAAAATGTAGTTATATAGTTATTAAAATGTTTCACATTAACTTGTAACATTCACTTATAGAACTAGAGTACCCAGTAGCGTACAATCAAGGTAAATATGTTGAACTCGAATACGAGTAAAAATTGTACACGAGCCTACAAGCATAAATTCATTTTGCTGTGAATAGAAATACAGCAGTAAAATATTTACTTTAAAGAATGTATTTTGGAAAGTATATTACTGAAAAGATAACACATAGTCTTTACGAACATAGAAGAATAGTACCTACCTTGAACATAAAGTCGACAATACGTTGTTTAATCAAATTTAAAGGATGATACTTTTGGTTATGTAGTGACTTTTTTGTCAGTTCAATTATATGAGGAGTTAAATTGTACCATGAATCTTTGATAGTAGAATTTCCATTAATAGAAATCCAATTAGACGTTGGATTTTCAATAAGTACTTCTAAACTTTGTTCAGTCTATTAAAAGTAATAATACAATAACAATTAGAGGAAGAAATAGAATTTTACACTTGTGCATTCCTTACCAATGATAACTAAGATATTAATATGATTTTAGAGAATAATAAACGAACATAGACAGATGAGATGAAGACTGTTTGCATTATCTGCAGTATTGCAATTTAATTATTTGATCAAACGAAAAGTGAAAAAAGGTTGAATTGACAATTTTATGACCAAGTTTGAATTAACCTTAACAAGTTTCAATGACCAGTACAGAAAGTTGGACAAAACTTAAAATTAAGACATTATGTTTATGAATTCTAATTAATAACAACGTGAGGTGGTAGTTTAGTGGTTACAACACTTAGCTTTGTCCAGTAGGACAAAAGTTTGAGTCCTGATCTACCTACTTCAGTCAGTCAGTCAGTCAGTTGCAACGTAGAACTTCGTACGTATGTACATAAGTTCATGTTGCCATACCACATTATTAGCACAGAGACGCGAATGTCAAATCAAATCCCATAGTGATAAAGATGGTAGAGGTATTAATGTTATAATAAAGAAGACTAGGGTTTAAGATATTATTCAAAAAATATAATTCAGTGAGATAAGGTTAGAAAGACAAAGGTAGAGGTGCTCACGAATCCAGAAGATTAGGATTTGAGAGAGCTCAAAGAGTGGATGCACCTGCGCCATTGCAAACGATTTTGAGCCATGTCGTTCAAGGTCTCTAACCATTGATGACTTTCGTCTCGCGGACCCCAACCAGGTAGTCTACATCTACCAACATGACTCAGTCCACTTGTCAGTGACTTCATGGATTTCTGCCATGTTTTGGTCTGGCCGCCCCTAGCTTTCTTCCAACCTACTCCTACACCACAAAACATAGCTCGTCGAGGCAGTCGGTGATTAGGCATACGTAACACATGTCCCAACCACCTCAACTGATGAAGTTTCACTACTTCATCTATTGATCTGCCATCCTTACCTAGTACTCGTTTCCTAACGACAGCATTGCTTATTCGCTTGTCCCACAATATACGAGCAATGCTTCTTAAACATCTATGATCGAATACTAGTAACCTACGAACATCTTCTACTCTTAACGGCCATGTTTCACAGCCATATAAGAGAACGGAACGAACTGTTGCGCAGTACACCCGCCTTTTGGTTAGCGAACGGATATCACGCCTACGCCATAAGTGACGCAGGTTGGCAAAAGCCAATCGAGCTTTCTGTATCCGAGCTGAGATTTCGTCAGTCACCAGACCGTCAGCACTGATGAGACTCCCCAGATAAGTGAAGTGATCTACACGCTCGACTACTTCACTCCCTATCAATAAATCAGGTGGCGAAGCAACCCAGTCTTGAAGCAACATTTTGCATT